AGGAGCATCTGCTTGTTTTTTAGACAAAGAATTTGCAAAGCGTCATAAGTTCCCTTTAGTACAAAAATCAAAACCTGTTCATGTTGAGGTCATAGATGGGCGACCTTTATTGTCTGGTAGCATCACCCATGAATCAAAACCTATAGAAGTAACGTTTAAAGACCATAGTAGTCATATTATTTTTAATATTATTAGAACCCCATCAAATCCTATTATTCTTGGTCTTTCTTGGTTGGAAAAACATAATCCATTGATAGATTGGAGGTTGCGGAAGATGACTTTTCCCACAAAACCACCCAAGAAAAAACCTAGTAAAAAACCTCGAAAAAAGAAATCCTTATTCATTGGAGCAAGAGCGTTTATAAGATCATCTAAGGAAGGCACTCCATTTGTCATTTATGCGGCTCCAACTACCGAGGAGAAGATCTCAACAGCAAGTATACCGAAGCAATATAAGGATTTTGAAGACGTGTTTCAAAAGAAGAACGCCGACATACTACCGGAACACCGACCATATGATTGTGCCATAGACTTGCAAGAAGGAGCACAACCACCTTTTGGCCCAATCTACAATCTATCGCAAATGGAGTTGGTAGAGTTACGAAAGTACATCGACGAGAATCTAGCCAAGAACTTCATTCGTCATTCAAAATCATCAGCTGGAGCACCCATCTTATTTGTGAAGAAGAAAGATGGATCATTACGGATGTGTGTGGACTATCGAGGCCTCAACAAGGTAACAAAGAAAAATCGTTACCCATTATCCTTGATTTCTAGTCTCTTAGAACAACTTGGACGTGCGAAGCTCTTTACAAAAATTGATCTAAGGGGAGCTTATAATCTCGTACGAATCAAGGAAGGAGATGAGTGGAAGACAGCATTCCGTACAAGGTATGGTCATTTCGAATACAATGTCATGCCTTTTGGTCTTACCAATGCTCCAGCGGTTTTCCAACATATGATGAATGACATCTTTCGAGAACACCTCGACGATTTTGTTGTCATCTACTTAGACGATATTCTAATATTCTCTAAAAACGAGGAAGAGCATGAGGAGCATGTTCGTTTGGTCTTGGAGAAACTATGCAAGCGAGGACTATATGCCAAATTAGAAAAGTGTTTATTTCACCAAACGAAGATGGAATTTTTGGGGTTCATTGCGACTACAGAAGGTTTGAAGATGGACCCCAAGAAAGTAGAAGCAATCATGTCTTGGGAGGTTCCGAAGACGATTAGAGACGTACAATGCTTTCTTGGTTTTGCTAACTTCTATCGAATCTTCATCAAGAATTATTCTCAAGTTGCTGCTCCTCTCACTCGATTAACATGCAAGGATAAGTTGGAATGGGGACCTTTGGCGGAGAAGGCGTTTCAAGACTTGAAGACAGCATTTACTACAGCTCCAATTTTGGTACATCCAGAATTTACAAAGGCCTTCTATTTAGAAACTGATGCTTCAAATTTTGCTTTGGGAGCTTTGCTTTCACAAATGAGTGAAGACAAGAAGCTCCATCCAATTGCATTCTATTCTCGGAAGTTCTCTGCTGCTGAAATCAATTATGAGATCCACGATAAGGAACTACTTGCTATAGTGGATTCTTTCGAAGAATGGCGTCACTTTCTTGAAGGAGCTGCACATCCAGTAACCGTATATACGGATCACAAAAATTTGGAGTATTTCATGTCGGCTCGAGTTTTAAATCGGTGTCAAGCTCGATGGAATATGTCGCTATCTAGATTCGATTTTGTTATCACTTATCGACTTGGAAGGCAGCAAGGACTATCCGATGCTTTATCAAGGAGATCGTATCTTACACCAAAGGCTGGAGAAGCAGCGTTTGATCAACAATGTACAACGTTATTGAAGCCAGAGAGATTTCAACTTTGTGCTACTATTGTATCATTTGATGCTGACTTCCTAAACCAAGTACGTGCTATGACCATTAAAGATTCAGTAGCCATTGATATCAAGCAACGTACCAATGACGACAAGTTCAAGGTGGAGGGAGATCTTTTATACTTTGAAGAGCGATTGTACATTCCAAAAGGACTAACACGACTCCGAGTTCTTCAATCTCGCCATGATTTTCCAACTGCGGGACATTTTGGATTCAACAAGACCTTGGAGCTTATTTCCCGAGATTTTTGGTGGCTCCAAATGTGGAAGGATGTGAAAGATTTTGTCCTCTCTTGTGACATCTGTTCAAGATCTAAGAATCCTCTGCATTGCCCTTATGGACTTCTACAGCCATTGCCAATTCCACGTCGACCATGGTCTTCAATTTCTATGGACTTCATCACGGACTTGCCATCATCAAACTCATTTGACAGCATCTTTGTTGTGGTAGATCGGCTTACGAAGATGGCACACTTTGTTCCTTGTAAGAAGACATCGTCCAGTGAAGTCACAGCAAGACTCTTTCTCGATAATGTGTATCGATATCATGGACTACCAGATGATATCATATCAGATCGAGGTACCCAGTTCGTGTCAAAGTTTTGGAGATCTCTCTTTGGAATATTGAAGGTGGATATCAAGCTTTCTTCAGCTTTTCATCCTCAAACTGATGGCCAAACGGAACGGGTAAACCAAGTCTTGGAGTAGTACTTACGATGGAGCATCAACTATCAGCAAGTTGATTGGACGACATATCTATCGCTAGCCGAGTTTGCATATAACAACACCCTCCATGCGTCGACTCAACAAACACCATTCTTTTTCAACTATGGGTATCATCCGAAGCTTGATTTATTGAGTCCGTCAACAAATAACAATCCAGCAGCTGAAGGATTTGCGAAGCAACTATCAGAGCTTCAAACTATGTTGAAGCTTCAATTACAATCCGCTCAAGAATCCTATAAGACGTCTGTAGATAGATTTCGGAATCCAGCACCTACTTTCAAAGTTGGAGACAAAGCCTGGCTTCTTCGATGAAATATCAAGACCAAGCGACCATGTGATAAGTTGGACTATCGAAGATTGGGACCATTTATCATCCAGAAGCAAATTAATCCAGTGGCATACCGGCTGGAGTTACCGGCTTCTATGAAGGTACATCCAGTCTTTCATGTTTCTCTGTTGGAACCTTATCGAGAGTCATCTTTTCCTGGAAGAGTGCAATGTCCGCCACCTAGTATTGAAATCGAGAACCACGAAGAATACGAGGTTGAAAAGGTATTGGATTTACGACAAAGGTCGGGAAAGTTAGAATATCTTGTTCATTGGTGCGGCTATGACATTAATGAGCGAACGTGGGAGCCAGCTGAAAATCTTGCGAATGCGCCACAAAAGGTATAGGAGTTTCATCAACGACATCCCGATAAATCTAAATCAATTCGATGATAGCTTCTTTCTGAAGCTTGTTCTCTCAAGAATATAAGAAAAGGGGAGAGCACCAGCAAAATTCATACTTGATGTAGTTATTTTCTCCAAGATAGATCATAGTTTGGTCTTTTGATATGGATAGCCAAGAGATAGATACTATGCCAGTCAGAGTATCGCAACCGAGTAGCTCACGAAGGCAACCCCGAGATGAAGAACTACATGTACCACGACGACGACGGAGGATACCAAGTAACCGATCACTGGTGATCGTATTTGAGATCGAGCCTGCTTACGATGGTCAACCAGAAGGCGTGTTTGCAGGACAATTTCACAATGAGGACACGGAAGTTCATGCTTGGTCAGAAGTCGAAGGCGTGGGCCACTACCGTTGGCTTCAAGGGTCGATGAACCACTTGCCTCGTGAACAATAGTTGGAGTTCATAGCAGAAGATATGCGACAGATCTTCATTTTCTTGCGTTGATACTGATCAACAACATTGCTTCTCAAAGACCTCGAAGCTAAAGGAGGGAATGATGTTAGGAACATATTCCTTAGAACTTTCTAGAAAGAAGTTTCTAGAACCTTCTAGAAAACAAGCCTCTGGAACCTTCTAGAAGAGAAGCCTCTGGAACCTTTTAGAGAGAAGTTTCTAGAAGCTTCTAGAAAAGAATCCCCTGGAACTTTCTAGAAGCTTCCTAGTTAATAGAAGTAGCTCAAGAAGTTTCTAGAACCTTCTAGAAAGGAAGCCTCTGGAACCTTCTAGAAGCTTCCTAGTTAATAGAAGTAGCTCGAGAAGCTTCCTAAGTAGGAGTATATATAGAGATCGAGGCTGAAGAGTTCTTCAGTCTCGACAACACATCTCTTGGAGTTCTAGCTCACCTTTTTGGTGTTGTTCTTGTACTCATCTGTTTAATTTAGTTCTGCCACTTCTTCTTGAACTTCTTGTTAGATTTCAAGTCTGTATTTTGTATCGGTGATAAAATTTGCATATTGTTGCTACAAATTGTTGAGAGTAGCATTATAAAATCATTAGGCATAGAGCTCAAAAGCTCCCAATCTTAATTTTCAATGAATATTTTTCAATAAATATTTTTTGTGGTCAATGACATGGATTTCTACTAATTCTATATATGTGTATTTAAAAACATAACCATTTCTACTATTTCTATTTCCAATTCTTTTCAAAAGATTTCTAAATTGCTTGCAATTTAAATTACTTGTAATTAGCAATGTAAAAATAATAGCTACAATGCATGAAAAACAAACAAAGCTTCCAATATCAGTTATTTTTGAAGAAATTTAATTAAAAATAATGTTTACTCAAATATGAACTACCTAAAATGTATGTTCCACAAAATTATAGAAACAAAATATTATTAGTGTTTCTTGAATTATCCGACATCAAAAAGATAATTGCAACCTACAATTCATTGGATGGTTATAGTAGTCAAGTCATCAATGACAATTAAAAACTACGTTGTTGTCGAATTTCAAGCAGAATTTCAAGCTAAATACGAAGTTCAAAGACGGGATTTACAACTTCTCATGAAAAGGCACCTTCTAAAAAAAAGGATAATAGATGAAGTGAAAAGAGATCACTAGGTATCATTATTAGATGTCGTAATAAGAAAATAGATGCAGTGAAGACAGATGAATAATAAAGGTAATCATTGCTGCGGACAAAGTGGAACTGCACAATCTTTATTAAAAGCACAAAAGTAAGACCTGGAGGAAGGACATTGTACATAGACAAGAGTTTCAGACACTGTACAAGATCTGGAACTACTATGAAGAAGCACTAATCTAATATATAATATTGAGAGTTCTGCATATCATCTGCCAATCCAGACTTTCATGCAGCCTACCCTTTAATATCTACTGGCACAATGTGCCAAACCCAATAGACACTGAACTATTCTAACTGCCTAAATAACAAGACCATTAAACAAAATCGCTAATAGGAGTTTCTGAACGAATCAACACATCAAAAGTAAAGATCACTACTAACGATGGACAGCAAGCACATTCAGCGGATGAAACAATTGTGGTGTAGTTAGTAAGAAATTGTAGCGTTAGATGAGGGAAATATAGGTAGCAACTTTCATCCATGTAACACTTAAATGGTAAGGAGGTAGCTCAGCATACCAGCAATCCATTTGAAAACTGGTTGACCGATTATTTTACTTTAGTTGCACCAGTATAAAACGTGAACGAGTCACCACCATTGAACACACCATGGAACGACTGAGCAACCGAGCTACTGAATGACGATGAACCAAGGCAAGTACGAGTCGCAGCCGCTTAAAACGTTTAACTACCATGAATTACCTCATCTCGAATCCTCAGTGGGACTAATCAGCACAGTAAAAGGATTACCCTGTAAGAATTTGAAAGGAGAGGCTGGAGGAATCTTGATCCTGGAATACCACTATAGCAGTCTTCCACAAACACACCATCCGAGGAAACTCCGATATGAATGATTCATAGATGGATCCACAAGAGCTCTAGAAAAGTAACCAGAGTTGCCTAAAGTCGCAATACAGACGTTTATAAGACTGCATCGAGTGGGAGAAGTTTTTTAGCCACTAGAAAGATTTCAGGAGGAGTTCCTCAATTGCAAGTTTACATGGAAGATCGTGAGTATAGCACCTAACGAACCGACCAACCTAACAAACTAAGTCTGAGAAAGATCAGATCCACTTGTATTGCCTTCCTAACTGCCAAAAACTGATCCATACTATTGCAAGGCTATCCCATACCTCCCCGAGTCAAGCCTACTCCCGAACATGATAATGAAACAAATATGCTGGTCCAATCAGCGCACAATTCACAGCTGGACACGACGCATTGATAAGTGCCCAGTGAAAAGCCTGTGATCAACCTACTTCATCGTTCATCGTTCCAAAATTCGCCACGTCCGAGAGAATCTTCCTCCCGCGAAATAAATATGCCAAGACACTCTAGGCCGAACCCGTCCAAAAATCGCACATAAAATTTCATCCTCTTCCGCACCTCACATCGTCCGTTGTCTAAACGTGAACCAGCCATTACGCCATTCGAATCTCTTGAAACTATCGAACAAACATCACTTTGGCCGTCGCGCCAATCAAACGTAATTGTCAATTGTGTGCGTACGATCCCAAAAAGTACGCCTGTAATTCACGTCGGGCCCGTCACCTCACATGAGAACGTCAAACACACTGCACGTACGAGGGTCCAGAGGTCACCATTCCGCCTACCCCTTTAGCCCAATCTCGAACGAGTTGAACAACCACGAGCCAACAATCAAACGGCCTAATGCATCCTAGCATAAGATTAGAACGAACACCCTGGAAAGAGACCTTCCTGACTGTAGAGAAACATCCGTGGTCTGGCAGCCAAACGTGCCACGACTCTGATTGCAACTGCATCTGTAAGTGATCCGTGAACAAGCCTGTGCACTACTGCAAAGTCCAGTACTAGCGAGCGTGTGTAGCAAACTAAGTCGACAGAATGAAGCTTTCGTAATCAAAGAACCCTCACTGATGGTATGCACACGGTTGCAGGGTTCGTTGACTTCCCACACATACCTAGTACGGTGAAGTAACACGGCAAGACTGGGAGGAAAAAAGCATGGCTGGCACGGCTTTACCTGACAATTGACGTTTATTTCCTTTACCGACGACCTCCTCCACCACCCCGAGATCGATTGCTGTAATCATCCCCACGATCACGCCCACCCCCACCTCTATAAGGGTCATCCCGAGCGGGACCTCGCGGGCCAGGATGCCGCGCAAAGGTAAGTCGCAGAACATATGACTCGTGATCAGTTTCGTCGAACTTGTACCCTGAATAAATCGTAAAGACGAAGATCCAATTACCATCAATCATTAACCTAGAATTCCTATGTTTAAACCACAACAGCGAGGTCACATTCAGTACAAAAAGGAAAAGAAAAAAGAGAGAAAAGATCCCACTGAGTGTGCAATAGAACAAGGTCTGCTGCCAACTATTCAATGCAGAGGACAGAATACAACTTTTCTCGATCTACTGAAATTCCAACAATCGATTCTAGACATTACATGCGTCCGCATAATCCAGATTCGAAAGAGCTGCAAATGGACATAACAAAGAGTCATGAAGGTACCTTGCAACGCTTCTAGGGCTGTTGCTGCACATCTTGCATCTGCAAACTCTACGAAGCACAGTACCACCTTCCCTCCATCAGCCTGTTACAACACACCGCAGTTCAGCAATTGGGAAAGGATAAAACGAAAAGACAAATGAACCCACAGAACTTCACGAGCTGGGACAATTGAACTAGGCAGCTAACACCAGCAATGCGTGTGTTAGTAGTTTCTCACCCGCTTAGCGTCCTTGTGAACAAGTCGAACTTCTTTAAATCCAATAAATGGGCGGAAAATATCTGTGCTGGAGAGTGAAGAAACCGCACATATAACAGGGACCGAAACCACTGCGTGCAACAGCACAACAGGGACCCATTCCCCACTAACTACGATAGCCAACTACGCCAAGGCCTGCGAAGATAAGACCCCTGCAAATAAAACAAACCCAACCACATTTTATGCGCAATGCAAAGGACCACGCACTGCAAGAGGAGGATACGTGCAGCTTCTCTGCGGGAGCAGTCCTGGGGAAGACCATCTACGAACAACGTTGAAGAAGCATCAGGTGGCAGCACCTCCAGACCCCCCCGCAGAACATCCGGTTCCGGGGCACCACCGTTTAAACCTAAAGCGCCAGGTCGCCCGCCCATACCAACGTCCAAAGGGCCCATCCGTGCTCCCATCAACTGAGATTCATCAGGAATACCTCCCAGACCGAGTGGCCCAAGACCGCCTCCACCACCAAGCGGGCCAATACCAGGGCCAAGACCCATGTCGCTGCCACCCAAACCTCCTCCTCCATAACCCATCTACATCACCCCACGATATCAATTCAGGTCATCGTCCCATGCACGATGCCTCCAAGCTAACCAACGTCTCAACCACAATTCATTAATTTGTAATTCAAAACCAAGGTGAAATTGAACAAGAATCCTGAATGTTCCAAGCGTCAACTCACCATCCTGAGTGCCGAATGACCTTACAACTCTAAAACGGTGATAACTTACCAGATCTCCACCACCACCCAAACCATCACCATCCCTCCAACCGCCACGACCGAGTTGGTCCTCGTACACTCTGTCTCGAGGGTAACCAATGTCACGATCTCTCGCTGCACCGTAACCTGCTCTGGGAAGTCCCTCTTCTGTGTCAAAAGTAAACGACAAACAACATTACTCAATACTAACCGGCATAGCTCCAATCAAAGACATACCAATCGCTGCCGTTCAATTGCGAAGGCCATATGCCACTACATCCTGAACCACATAATTGATACTGAACTGTCCCGGAAAAAACAAAACAAAACAAAACAAAAAAACAAACAAACAAAAAATGTGGGACGTGTGATTATCATTCTAACAACATGGAAAAGGAACGCAGCGAGACACTCAAATGATGCAGAGGCAAGCAGTAGATCCGCCAACATTTACGAGTGCATTTCAACAACCTCAAGGCTATCATGCACATTGCTAAACAAAAAAGTGTATAAAACCCCTACATCACATTCAATAAAAACGAAAGAACGTGCATCCTCATCGGGCAATTGATCATTGCCTTCATACAGTTGGTCGAAATAGATGCTCTAAAAGACCTTGGAGCTTGGGCTCTGTACTCGTGAAGACGCGACCCAACTGCAACCGGTCACGCATCATGATAGACTCGTGCGGCATTCAACATGTATAAAATCACTTACACTAAACCACCTCCCCAGCCAACACGAACTTCACAAATACCCTATGCGCTGTGGGAATGAGTACTGCAACTACGTCAATAAAAATAAAATAAAAACTGACCGTAATCTCGACGAGAGCGCTTCGTGGGAGTGGATCCTGCCCGCCGACCATCTGCTGCCGCGCCGTAGCGCCAACTGCCTCCGTAGTCCCCCATCGCTGGACCGTCTAGCCCTGCCCGCACAAACCCTCGAGTTAAAATACTTTCCCACCGCTCTCAACATTCTCTACACCAATCAACCACATTTCTGACATCTACTACCGTGCCAACACTCTGAACTTCAAAACCACACTCCCTCTAACAACCTGTTCCGCAAAACATGCAACCATGAAAACTCAGTCTGGACTAATGCACCAAACGTCAAAGGAGCATAGCGAAATTCCACCCATCAACCGCCACTCCGTCAGTTACACAAAAAAATCCCAAACAATTGATATTTCTCCTACCGACCAATCCGCAAGAATCAGAGCCAAACATTGCATCAACGCAACACATAACGCTTAACATCACAAAAACCACCAAGCAGCACCACCCCGTTCCACCCAACGCGCTTCTAACAAACCCTGACCCGTCACCCCATCACCACCGCCGAGCTCAAGGCCTGCACAGACCCTAGCATTCCCAAACTAACCCCTATTTCCCAACACACACATATACACACGCAATCCCGTTGCTCGTGCCACAACCAGCACAAGTTCTAAGTCACACGACGACGACGACGAGCAAGTTAAGATCACGCACTCGGCTGCTGGATCCCGTTTATAAAAGGGTACATGTGTTCTGGTGCGGTGCGAAACAAAAGCTCACTCTCGATCGCTTAACTCCCTCTCTCTCCCTCTCACCCCTCGGTAAACCCCCGCTTTATGTCAGAATCTCTCTATGTGTGTGTATAATGCGTAAACTGCTTTGTTCAGTGTGTCTCTCTGTGTGTGTGTGCGTGTATATGCAGAGGCTGTGGTGCTTGTAAGCGAAGATGGCGACAAGAAGAGAAATTGTGAACAGGCTTGAGAGAAGGTAGAGAAGGGACGCTGTTATCTCCATGCACTAAGTGCACTGCACTGCGTGAGAGATGGATACCAATGGACGACGACGATGATGAGGACCAGTTGAAGTGTTGAGATCCGAGGGTTGGGGTCACCGGCTCAGGCCGGCTGCTTGTCGGATTGGGACCGTTCACAGCGGCAGGGGTTTCTTCGTTCGTCGTCGTCGACTTCTAGCGACGAATTTCGCATTTATCGTTGTATCTTCGTTCCTTCATTTATCGTTGTATCTTCGTTCCTTCATTTATCGTTGTATCTTCGTTCCTTCATTCATCGTTGTATCTTCGTTCCTTCATTTATCGTTGTATCTTCGTTCCTGCATTTATCGTTATATCTTCGTTCCTGCATTTTATCGTTGTATCTTCGTTCCTGTATTTATCGTTGTATCTTCGTTCCTGCATTTATCGTTGTATCTTCGTTCCTGTATTTATCGTTGTATCTTCGTTCCTGCATTTATCGTTGTATCTTCGTTCCTGCATTTATCGTTGTATCTTTGTTCGTCGGTCCTTGTCAAGGTGCCACGAAACCGCTTTCACACAGACACACATGTCGTGGGTTCGATGCACGGAGGCGTCCTGTGAACAGTGGTAGGGTCTTTTTGTCGCGGTCATGGGCTTCCACATGAATGGTCTTTTGTTGGCCATAGGTTTGGTATAATTAGAAAAATAAATAAATAAATAAATAAATAAAAATAAAACCACTACCATCACTTTGAAGTATGTTGAATTCAAGCTGTACAAAGTGAAAATTTAATGTAAAATTCTGATGTATGGACGTGACAATTTTTTTTTTAAATATAAATTTTGGATAAATAATAATCTATAAGTATGTTTTACTGATTTTAAATTTAAAATGTAGAGTGATGTGATGATGTTCAAATCATCAGACACGGTTATAATCATCTACCTTTTTCAAAAATTGATTTTTGATTTTGCAGCCTGTAACTACCTATGTAATTTTTTTAATTACACAAACATCCAGAGAAAATCATTATTTTCTTATTTAAAACAGCTTCAAACTACCTGAATATAAACAAAGTTAAATTACATAAAGATACAAATTATAATAAAATTTTATTTCCAATGTATATAAAACATTAAGGAGATATATTATTATCATTATTGTTATTATTTTATGTTAAAGTAAGAGGTATTTGTCCATATGCTAAAGTGTGTCTATATATATATATATATATATACTTTTTTTTGGCAAAAAAAGAGTTCTAATGGCTACACCTCAATCACTCACTTTTAGATGCTACTTCTACTGCAAAATAAAGTAAAAACAATTTAATTTTTTTTAAAAAAAATATTCTCTATGCTAAGTAACATAAATTCACAATTTGATTATTACTTATATGATATTTAATAATTATAAATATAATTTTTATTTTCAATTACTATATATTTTTACAAGTGAATATACATTGATGTTTATTATTTTTGAAAAAGAAAAAAAAAAAAAAAAACTTCAAATCCTTACAACTAAAATATATGAATAAGTAATACATATTATTTTTGATTGTGACAAATTCCCAATTATTTTGCATTAAGAAAGACCAATTCTTTGATTGAAATTTGACAAGATTAAATAAAGACTAGAATGTGATATCTTAACATAACTTGAAATAAGCTTGTTGACAATTTGTCAATGACCATGAAAGGTTGGTAGAAGGATTGGACACAATTATAATAAAGCATTTATGGCAAGTTGTCAAGAAATTTTATTATTCTTCAAGAATGATTTTTTTGGATAAGTATTTGAAATATTATTAAAAATTGAAAAGAAAAGTTCTAAAAAGATGTGTCTGTTCATATATATATATATATATATATATTTATATCAACAAAAATCAGAAATGATATTTCTAATAAGTAAAATTATATATATATATATATATCAACAAAAATCAGAAATGATATTTCTAATAAGTAAAATTATATATATATATATATATATATATATATATATGAGAATTAAATCAATTTCATTTGATGTTAAATAAGATTAACAAAAAAAAAAAGTTACAAAGGAGTTTTTTTTTTTTTTTTTTTTTTTTTTTATCATGTACAACTGTCATATCTTTTAGAGCCAAAATCCCATATATATTTTTCAATGCAATAAAAACCTTCTTATTCTATTGTTTATGTTCATATAATACCAATTATTTTATAGTGTACATTTCTTTCTAAAATTTAGTATGAAAGTAAAGAAAATGATTCAAGGTTTTAAACATGTAACAATGCAAGAAGATTACAAAAAAAATAAATGAGTTGAAATCGAGATTGGAAGAATTTTGGAAGGATTTATCCATGGATAAAAAGAAAAATACTTATAAAAGATTTAAGTATGGTAATTTTTGTATATAAAAAAGAGAAATGTTGAAAATGATCCAAGCTTTTACTAAATTGATTGACTTATTCAAACCATCATTCCATTCTCCTATCCCTCTCTTTTATTTTCTCTGTTTCCATCTCTATCTCTATTATCCCATTTCCCATCCCTATTCCCTACATTTCCAATCTCCTTCTCCATTCCTCATGATCCTCCATTGTGTGTCCCTATTTCCAATCTTGACTTCCTTTCTTTGTTCTTGTCCTCCCATCTTGAATTTTTGTAGTTCCCCTCAACTCTTATTTTTTTTTACCTTTTGAGTAATTTAATGTCACGGCCATAATCATGTAAGCTAATAATTACATATAGAAATAGGTAGAAGTAAGTAAAAGTAGATAAAAGTAAGTTAATTCTATAATATTTAATATAGAAGCTTCCTAGAAACTTCCTAGATGCTGCTTTGACTTCATAGGTGTCTTTAATTGACTTTTTGGATTAGAAACGTGGTCAACAAATTGGCCATGTACCACACATGTTGTTAGCTTGAAGATCAAGCTAACTATGTGGCCCACACGTAGAAAAACTTGCCTTGTAAGTCAAGGCATGTGTCCTACAAAGTCAACACATATTGGAGGTCCTATAGAACATCGCCACGTAGCCCCTAGTTAGATAGTATATATAGAGACAAGAGTGAAGGCTTCTTCACTCTTGTCAACTCCTTTCTTGCTTCTAGTCCAGGTTTAAGAGTCTTTAATTTCTTGTCTTGTGGCAATAGCCATTCCAGTTTCCTTTTAATATACCTACTTGTTTATATTTTGACTTATTATATCAAGATAGCCTTTTTGTGTATATTTTCCCTCATCGAGTCTTTGTCCTTGACAGATTGACAAGAGTACACTTACAATATCAGAGCTTTGTTTTTCTTGAGTGAGAGTGGATTACCCCTTTCTCTTGACAAGACATAAGCGTATTAGAAGTTTACGGATTACCTACTTCTAAACTGATATTGTTCTTAGTATCTTCTTTGTTATCAAGTCTTTCTTTTCTTTTGTCTTAAGCAGTATCAAACAAATTTTTCTTCTTAGTGTCATTATGGCAGAGCTTATTGAAATGAAGAGTGTAATGGCACAAATGCAAGAACAAATGAGGGAGTTAATGCTTGCGATGCATCAACTCAATTCACCAACACATGAAAGAACAAGAATAGCAGAAAGTGGAGATATAGAGATGATTGGAGCTGCTTCAACATCTACAACAAATCACATTCCTTCTCCAATTGTACAACACCCTGTAAGCACTAGAGAACCAAGAATTACCTTACCCGAGAAATTTGATGGTACGAGATCTAAGTTTCGAGGGTTCATCAATCAAGTACAATTGGCAATTGAACTTCAACCACAAAGCTATCCAACTCCAGGATCACAAGTCAGGTTTATTGGCACTCTACTTTCTAGTTCTGCATTATCGTGGTTTTCGTCTTTTCTTAAACAACGAAATCCAATATTGGACAATTTGGAAGCTTTTTTGGCGGAGTTTCAATCTATGTATGGTGAACACGATGCAACTCGTGTTGCAACAAATAAGATCTGAATTCTGCGACAAGAAAATCGCTCAGTAACAGTGTATGCTTCACAATTTCGACAACTTGCAATTGACATCAAGTGGGATGATGCTGCACTCATTAGTCAATTTCTTTATAGATTGCAATACGAAGTAAAGAAATTGATGCTCAACTTACCTGATCCTCAAACTTTGAGTCAAGCAATCGATTTTGCGGTAAAATGTGATAATCAACTTTTCAAATTTCAATCCGAGAATCATTCACGGGAACCTCAACATTATTACTCAATGGCAACATCAACATCTTTGCTAAACGTACATTCGGAAGTAGAAGACATGAAAATTGACGCGGTACGTTTTAAACCCCTAACTGAGCAAGAAAAGATTTGTCGTCGTCAAGAAGGATTATGTTTATATTGCGGAGAACCTAAGCACACTGCTCAACATTGTCCAAAGAAACGACGCAACTATAAAATGAGAGGTACGACGGTCAAAGAAAACAACATGTTGAAAAATGGATTCGTCCAACTACAATAGGGACCATGCAGCTGGAACCTTGTACAATTCCTAATGAAGGTCCTATCCTCTCCTCAGAATCCTCTCCTTGTTTTATAATAGACTTATATTTAAGACCTAAGAATTACAAAGCCTCTGCTTTATTAGATTCGGGAGCCTCAACATGTTTTTTAGATGAACAATTTGTTAAAAGTCGTAAAATACCTTTTGTACAGAAACCTAAACCAGTACATGTAGAAGTCATAGATGGTCGTCCCTTGTCTTCTGGAGATGTCACTCATGAAACTTATCCTATAAAAGTAACAATAGACGGTCATGATAGCTACATAGTTTTTAACATAATTAAATCCCCGTCCAATCCAGTTATTTTAGGTTTATCCTGGCTAAAAAAATATAATCCTCGAATAGATTGGAATTCGCGTAAACTTGTCTTTTCCCAGAGCGTTATTAATAGTTCTACCAACCAAGTAAAAAATTATAAGTCTAGTATAGTAAAACCCGTACTGATAGGTGCAAAAGCATTTATACACACAGCAAAAGAAGGATCAACTTTTGCTATTTATGCTGCACCTATTTCTAAAAACGTAAAGACTTCAAGTGGCATTCCAAGTCAATATCAGGAGTATC